AAAACCACTGAATGATACAAACAACAATTGTGCAAAAATACCAAAATAATCCACGACCAAGAATTCTCGTGCGTTCGAAATGATGATTCGTATCCGAAAAGCCGATATAGAGACTAGAGGTGACAATGTCATGAACATTTCGCACAATTCATTTTGTAATGGTGTTGCACTCTCATTCAGTGATAAAATTCAAACATGTGCTTTTTTTCTACTGTGTGTTCTCTCTACCTCTCCCCTCTCTTTCTGGTTCTCGCGCGCTCACAATTTTTCTTTTTGTCGTCTTCCGAGAGAGAGAAAGTGAGAGAGAGAGAGAGAGAAAGAAATATATATTTCGTCATTTTCACCATATGGATTAGTCAATGTGGTTGGATAGTTACTTTGGATCTTTGCCATTGTAGTAAAGTTATGTACTGTAAAAAGATTTGGGAATGCAATGGAAATCAAATATGATTTTTGAGGCTGTGCAAAATATGTAAACTGAACATTTATCACCTCTAATTGACTTTGTTGCATTTGCATCCATGCAACTCGGCATCGCACACGCTGCACGTCTCTTTGCAACACAGGCGATATCTCTAAACATTTCCCATTTTTTGTTGTCATTTTTTGCTTTCATTCAGTTTCTGGAGCACCCAAACAATAGCGACACTCGACTGAAAAAAAACTTTGGCGAATAAATCCCATACTTGAAGCAAAATTGAATGAGAAATGGTTTGTTATTTGCCAAATTCACTTGCGCTACAAAATAATCCACGAAAAAACATGCATAGCAAAAACTTCCACCAAATCACATTCAACACAGATTGAAACTTTGAGAAAGCATCGACAATCGAAACAGAGACAGACGAAGAGACCAAAGAAGCAATGGAAGCTGAGTGCACAGTCGAGCCAACGAATGTTTGGGGAATTCAAAGATATACTCACCATATAAAAATTGTAACAAACAAATGGAATGCTATCGGAGTTTGAAATTTTTTTAATATGTTTTAGTATGTTTTGGTGTCAGCTTGGTGTCAATGGAACGATAAAGAAATCTATTACAAACAATATAACAGCGAGGAGTCGAAATAAAAACAGCAACAAAAACAACGACAAAATCCAACCAAATAAAAATGCCATGCACAATGAATAAATCCCAAACAGAGAGAGAGAGAGGTATCGCAAACATACACAGCATAAATGTCTAAAAAATTGTTCGCGCTCATGCGACATCGCAGCGAATTGCATGAATGGATTTGCATGAATGCAAAACGCGTACTGAAAAAAAAATCTATTTTACGAATATATATGTATTTTTTTATTCTATAAAAACCTCCACATCCGAAATGGATTCCACATACAAGAATAGTCGTGATAGAGACGATCACAACTCTGGCGCACATGTATTGAAAGCACAATTCACATCGACAGCAAACCATACAAAGAGATTGAAATAAAATGCAAACTGAAATGCTTTTGGATGACTTATATGAGTGAACGATAGTTCGAAATATGTTTGTTTGGGTGCTTTATGCACTGAATCCGACAAATGTGAAACAAAATGACGCATATGCAGCGAACAACCAAAATATATGGCACGATTATATTGAATCAAACAGAATTTGCAACCGGCTTCTCTCTTTCTATCTCTCTTTCTGCACGCGTTCGCTTAATAAAATCCGTTATGTATATATAAAAGATGTCATCGCCTTATTCTGTACTTGGAAATTGCAACTTCAGTGTACGCCGCTCACACACAAATACATTGCTGAGAATGAAAATGGTTCAATGAATACCATCTACTGTTCTTGCTTCCAGAAAAGTTTGGATTCGAGATTCGTTAGGTCATTATCATTCTCAGCCATACATATATATTGATACACATCATTATGTGAATGATGAGTCAGTGCTCTCTACACACATACAATTGAAAAAGTGAGGTGCTGAGAAGAACGCAACAAAAAAAAACCGTGCATATGATATGGAAACGATTCATTTAATTTTATTAAGAAAATGTACCCAATATGGTTGCTGTGTCGAAAAATAAAAGTACCCGATAAAAATATGGAACAGAAAGCGTTAAAAACAACGAAAAACACTTACACCATATTCCCATTGACAATGAACCATCGTTATGGTTGTTGTTGTCGCCATCGAAGTCGTCACCATCATCAATGTAATAATATCCAAAAGCACAAAATGCATATCCATATCGTATACACGAAGGAATACACGGGAAAAGAAACGGCCTCCGCTCATCGTGCAAGAAATCGCACTCACAAAAAATTGAATTTACATTTTCTGTGCATTGGATTTGTATATTGTTGTGCTGAAAATCATCTACACACATATTCCTATCAAAAGCGTACATGTTGGAAATGTACAAATATAGATAGATTTATGTAGACGGCGGCATCATCACCTAAATTGTAAAATATAGTGATCATAAACCCTTGCCATTGTAGCTGCGAAACAAACCATACATTCACTGATGAAGAATAAAACAAATCACCATCTGGAAAATGCAAACATTTTAAATGAGTAGGAAAAAGAAAATGTGAATGCTGATTGTTGTATACGAGAGAAAATATTTGATTAATCATGATTTATTTGACGGTTTTCAATTGATGAAACTAAGTAAACAACATCAAAAGTTATGGAAGCCGAACAGACAGCTGCATTTTATTCCGAGTATTTTTTTCTTCTTTAAAACAAACTATTTTCAAGCTAAATTGATGTAAAAAAAAAACAAAGGCATCAGAGTAAAAAAAAGTATTCAATCAAAATAGACTAGACGCGAAAAAGCAATGAAAAAGTTCGTTGTTTCCACATTGAAATTTAATCAAGCTAAAATAATTTCCCAATCGTATTCAAAAATCGAACTTATCAATCGCTTGATATTTCGACTGCTACTGCCACTACTAGTACTACAACAACCTTGATTGATCGCTCTTAGATTTAGTGTGAACATTTTGTTTGGCAACCAAAAAAGAAGCAATTTTCACGTGAATTGTATTGTGAATTTGGTCGGTTAGTTGTGGCGGCAACACACGCGCGAGATTCGGAAGCATCGATTAATGGGTGCATGGGAAAATTATGTTTTTCGTGTGCATATTCGTGTGCGCACGTTTAAATTCTATTTCTAAAAAGGTCATTGAGTAGTTCATGTTTTTATTTCGCATTGCATGTATTGTGGATATCATCAAAGGGCGACAAGGCGTGCATTGGCTATAAATAAAGTACAGTAAGCGCGCCATTCATTTTGTTCGATTGTCAACGTGTATTAAGCGTAATTCTTTTTCGGTGCTTTAAATGTCTTTCTCCACACATATACAAATTGATTTTCCTTTCAGCCATTTCATCGTCGTAATTTTTCTCGTTAGTGGATTTGCGTGTGCCGTTCCCGTGAGCTACGATATGGCGGCGACAACAACTACAATGACATATCAAATTATTTTAATTAGTCGCTACGTACGGGTGAAATGGGAAATGACAAAAAATATACAACACAAACATGTTTCATTTGAAATTTACACAGTAAATAAGTCGCAAAATTATATTAGCGTTTTAATGAAATCAATTAAATCATTACGGAAAACATACTGTTAACATACTTTGTCAAATAGTGTGTGTGTCTTTTTTCGCTCTCTCTCTCTCTCTCTCTCTCTATTTATATGTTTGCTGTTCGCTGTACGTGTCTATATATTTTGGGTTGTTGTTTTAGCAAACGACATGTCTGCATATCTATGTTTTTGCATCTCAAATGCAAAATGATTTATGTTCATTATTTGTTCCGTAAACATTGTCGCTTTGATACACATTTATAGCTTGTATTCTTGTCTCTTATTCATTCACCCTCATTCGTTAGTTCTGGCTTGGGCTGCGAGAGGATATATTCGGTGTATTTTGGATCACATGTGTTGTATTTTTTTTCTTGCACCTGCCATTTTTTCCATCTCTCTATCTCTCTTTCTCTCTCTTGTCTCGAGATAGATCTCGTGTGCAAGCGTACGAGCGCGTGTTATAAACACTTTTTTTCTATTTCTATGTGTCTGTCTGTCTCAAATCTTTTGCTCCATCTCATGCTCAATTCCATTTTGCTTGGTTTGTCATTTCAAATGCACATAATGCATGTATTACTTCACTTTCCATTTAATGTCTCCATTTGATATAGTTGCACTGTGTCGTGAATATGCCAACACTCGAATGCATAATGAATTCAGATTTATGTGTGTTTTTTGTTGTTGTTTTTTTTCTCGCGCTGTCGATGGTATCTCTTGTTCGCGAACCAATGCCTTCTTTTTTTCGTTGTTGTCGTCTACTGTCCTCGTTCATTTAGAATGTTGACAATATGATTTGGAAAATTGTAGCAAGTGAAACGTTATTGTATTGTGATTGGGAAAAGATAATGTGCGATTCAGAGTGTTTTAATTGATTTCAATGCTGTTCAATATTGCACTATGCAATCATAAAATCAACAAATGCCACTGTTTGACATAAAGTAACAACAACACTAACAAGCCCGCTTAGATATCATACCATGGACTGTTTTTTTCTTTCTCTCTCTCGTTCTCTCTCCGTTCAACACATTCGCAACAACAATTTACTGGTGTGAAAGTTTTCTAATGTGACGGCTTGTAAATTGCCAACAACAACATAAGAACATTTGACATTTCAATGGGACCATTTATTCGTGACATTTTTCTCACTTTCATTGTATTGTATAATATCGTATGTCTTGATATAACAACTTGAAATCAGTGAACGTTCGCTATTGTGAGCATATATAAAATTATGCTGTGTGTGTGTGTGCAGAGCAGTGACGGAATGCCAACATTTGCAATCATATTTTAAAGCGCGTTTGTATTTTGTGCTTTTCAATTTCCGCTTTGCGTGTTTTTTTTCTAAAACCAAGCATAAAACACTGAACTTACTTCAAGTTTAACTATTTCAGCGTTCCATGAATAAATCATCTTCTCATGTTGTCATAATTCACATAAAGTTTCTGTTTTGTTTTCTAGGTAACGTAGGAGAGAAACGATTTTGACTATATAAGCCACTTCAGTACGAGTTCATATCAAAAGGTAATTTGTCTTTTCAATAAGAAAACGTAAAGAAGTTTTAAAGCAAGTGAAATGGTAAATGTGAAGTTTGAAATGAATCTATTTTGTTTCTTATTCGTATTCGTCACAATTTATGAGGGTGCTCATCAACAAACAATTATATTAACGTACTTTTATAATTGCTTTTCAAAGCGTTAGTGTGGAAAAATAAAAGAATGTGTGTGGTGCATGAATAATAATCCATAAAATGTGTTCGCATTCAATTTGGCCAAAAATAACCATTTGATTCAAGTTGTGCCATTTTTAACTGATTTTAAGGATTTATGATTTTGACACTTCATCATCGAGATAATCGTAATTTCATTTGTTCACTCTTTTATTTATTTATTTATAAAACAAATGATTGAAGTAATGAATTGGCTGAAAGTATTATAGTTTTGATCCGAACTTTTGTTTTGATTATCTTGATATAATAGAGAATGAATGAAATACCCATTGAATCCCATCGAAAGCTTCTAAAGTTGTCCAATTGAGCGTTTGAATGTTTTTGCTGCTGCTGTTACCGCTGCTTAGCAACAGTGATAATGTAAAATTATCAAGATAGTCAAAAGAGCCGTTGATCAGATCATCCAAAACACTCAAATAGAAATTGGATAAACTTATTGCACACAGTTTTTTATTTTGCCTTGATTCGCATAAATCCATGACTGATGCTAAATCAAAGATAAATATTCGGGAATGGAAAAAAGGATCAAAAATGACATGAGAATATGTTCGAAGAGATGAACGCTTTTGGAGGAGCGCGATTTTGAAATGGAAGATGTGTAGGAAGAGTGAAAAAGAGAGATACGTCAAGAGCGAAAGAGAGACAAACCGAATGAAATTCTAGCTGAAAATCTACGAATGGCCTAGCATTAATTTTATTCGGATATAATTTTACGTTTACTCGAGCATGCAAAAGGTTTTCAATATTTAATTTGGCTCCGAACAAATATACATGAAATCAAATAAATGCGGCAAAATGCCCAAGTTCATTCGCTATGGATTTGTCTGGTTCTTTTTTTCTCTCTCTTGCATTTTGTAATGAAGAAAATCCGATCTGAAAATATAGGGTTCGGGGTGTTGTGTCTTTTCAATACAATTCTTACCTCATCGTTTCCCTTTCCATTTGTCTTACACACTTTTATTCGGTTCGTTTCACTCTTTTCTCTTATAAGATTGGATTTGATTTCAATGTATTACTTGGATATGATTTTTACTTAACCGCAGACAATTTATTTAATTTGAAATGTTGGGAAAGATAGCATGCGCTATATCCCTTCACCAAACTATAGTTATCGCGTTTATGTATTCAACGAAAAATATTTTCATATAGTCTTGCAAATGCTCCTTTTTTTTCTCTATCCATCCATTTCTTTCGACACGATCCAACCAGGCGGTAGGGAATGATGCAAAATAAAAATGTAGCACACACTGGACAGAAATGAATTATTTATTTCGATTTCATTAAAACTTTTATCCAAATCGATGTGTGTTCGTTTTAGTACGTGCCGATGATAAACGAAAATTTTATATGTATAGAGCAACACTTTTTCATAGTTTTTCTTTTCTCTTGTGAAAAACTCGACGCAACTCGGCACATTAACCATAATTTGTTTTTTGTTATCTTCGTTTTCTTCTTCTCTCCTTTATGCTGCATATTTCGGCTCCATTGTACATAGAAATTGTTGTTGTGTTATTGGCCAGCCACTATATATAAACATGTAGCTATAGTAACACCTTTTCTTTCGATTGATTGAGACACATACACTACGGTCAAAAAGTTTGAGATCACGCTATTTCACTTTTGACGTTTTTTTTCTAATATTTGAGACATAATAACCCTCTAGACACTTCATAAATTGAATAACTTACTTTGAAAACTAATTGAATTTTGAGTTCAAAAAATGTCGAAAACATTTATGTGAATAAATTCTATATCTTGTATATTTCCATTCAAGTGGTTAATCTGGAAATATAAAAAAATTAATTTCCACCTCAAAAATGATGCGATAGTATCTTTAAACTTTCTGACTGTTGTGTATGTATTGAGAATAAGATTCTGATACAAATTTTTCAATTAAATAGAATTCGATGTTTAAATGCCACTTCTCTCTCACATTGAGCAAAGTCATTGATGAACTCTCCATCATTTTACTCTCTTTTTTATGATAAAAACCTTGCGAACAACAACTCAGACGAAGAGATAGAGAGAGAGAGAGAGAGAGAGAGAGAGAGAGAGAGAGAGAGAGAGAGCAAAAATTGTTTATAACCACTTTTAATGGACTATAAAACAAAATTAGGTAAACAGCATGCACGCGTGAGCAAACAATAAATCCAATTGAAAATCAATAAATATATTGAAAGCAAGCGTCGCGCATATTCAAACGATCATTGAGAAATTTATTAATCGATTTTGTTGTTGGTTCTCTATTGCTCTTGTTTTCGATTGCAAGCTGCCTTTTGTTCAATCTCAGTTGCGTCACACTATTTATAGTATAGTTTAAACTTTATGTGTGAATGTATTTTTTGCAAATGGGTCGCAACAATGTGATTGAAAATAAACGCGCGGGTGCGCACGTACCAAATCGAATTCGGTATGAACGAGTAAGCTATTGTTTTACATCGGCCAATATATGTAACAACATTCATTATTATATTTCTCGCATATTTCGCATCATTATTATTTTTTGCATAGTTTCCATTATTTTTTGTTTGTTTTTTATCGCAAAAAAAAAAATGCGTTCGCTCATTTTATTAGCTTAGTCATAAATTAAAGACCAATTTTAGCCATTTATTGTTTTGCATCGCACTTCTCTTCAAATATATGTTTTGTTATGTGTGCCAAATCCGAAGCGACAAATTGATTCATTAACCGAATGAGTCACATTGGATAAAAAATGGTTTCTTGTCAGTGAATTTAAAATGCTCACACGCTTTTTCGAACTACACGCTGCATCATGTGATGACTCTTGGAATATAACCAAAACCAATGGTAGTAAATGTAAATCATATGAAAAGAAAGACTGAATGCTCTTGCATCAAATATTTTTTGTCCGTACACAAAATATTAAGCAACCGAAAAACATTTTCATTGAAACTCATAACATGAATAACTCCATTCTACGTTTTATTTGTATACTTTTATGGAGATATTTTTCATTTGTTTGTTTTGCAAGAATTGTTGAATTTTTCAGATGAGATTTTGCATTGATTCCCAACATTTTGGATTCATCAATGAATTCCGTCAATAAATACCATATGCATATGGATTTTATTAAACACAGAAATAATTTTTCCAATTTTATTTTTTGTGACATTTACAATCGTATTGTTTATGGCGATATTTCGTGAAAGTGTTTTTTTTGTCCATAAAATATGAATATGAACGAAGAAAGACTATTGAATTTTCAGCGAAGAGTTAATCGAAATCAAAATGAGCAACTCTCGTATATTTTTGCAATTACATTTCAATAGAAAATTTTACAATTGAAAGTTATTATATTCTGAATTGCATCTGACCCGAGCAAAGAGATTTGAATTTGAAATCGAGGGAATTGCTAGGCTGTTGCATTCGTTCGTTGAGAGTATGGATCTTTCTTTTTCTCTTTCTCTCTTTCTGATGCAATTCTATAAAAATATCGTGTGATTCATTTGAGTGACGAAAGAGCGGGAGGTAGAGCGAAAATGTGAATAGTAGCAAAGGGTGCTGAACATCGTGTGATACACAAGAAAATTTTGTTTACGGCAGTCCACAAGAACTTTCATTTTATTTGATTATCGGAATGTTGTTTCATTTTTTTTTTCTCATTCCCTTGTGTTCAATACAATACATGTACATTCGATTCGGTGTCGCATTCTCACTGCTGCACTCTACTGAATGCAATTGCCCCAAACAATGTACGGTCACATGCATAAATGCACATGTGTGTGTCTCCGTGTATGTTTTTGTTTTGTCACTTCGCATGGTTTGTTTCATTTGTTTTATTGGATTTTCTTTAACAATAAATAACATGCAGTTATTGTGCACGTTTATTCGGTTTCATTGTTAGAAAATGATTGCGTCGTGGTACGATTGTGCTGTTGCTTGTTGGCGTTGAATGTGGCTTAGACGACTCCAGATTGTTATCAATGCAATCAAAAAGTTGAAATTATATCCCCATAGCCATCGGCATATGGGGCCGCTGTATTTGCCATTTGCTATCTTGCAGATAGTATCTACAAATCAAACGGTATGGCAATACTCTATCGCTATCGTTCTTTGTATGTGAATTTACTGTGCATTTTATGCTGAAATCAAACTCGGAAACCGTCTTTCTCGATTTTCATTTCCTTAATTTTGTTGTTCTGATTCCCATATTTTCACCCGGCAAGTATTGCTCTATTCAAAGGCTACTGGTCTCAAGTCTCTTACTCTCTCTCTCTCTCTCTCTCTCTCTCTCTCTCTCTCTATTTTTTAAGCTCGATGTTTTCCTTTCTTTTCCAAATGGCTTTGTCGTACGCTCGATTGCTGTCTATCTCCTGTGGTCCCCTTCCGCTACCTCACACATTTTGTTGTTTTTCCGCTGCCAAAATCGAAAACAAATGTGCAATATAACGTGCGGCGGAGCAACAAATGTAGGTAATATTTTGGAGAAATGGCCAGAGGCACAATTCAATGAATACTGTAGCAAATGGCAAAAACGAAAACTTTCCGTATCAAATTAAGCAATATGCACTTGGGTCGTATATTTTTCCCATGCAGACACATATTTCATGCTTCATGAGATGTGCTTATCAAAAAAAATTGAAAAGTGCTAATGAAAATCGAAACGGTGAGAGCAACAATGTGGTATACAAGCGATGAAGAATAAAGAAAATCAGACGTATTTCATTCAAAATTGGTCGTTTTGCGTCTATATTTTATCCCCGTTATGATTTTTCCCCATTATGTGCTATTTTTATCATTTCCGTTGTTGTTCGCCCACTTATTTTGTCTGTTG